AATATACTTAAAAATGATAATAATCATGTTTTTAAATTAAAACTAAACTATTAATATATATACTTCATCATTTAATTAATATGTACTTCCGTCCAAATTTTAACTTCAAGTGACTATGAAAAACAATTATATTTTTATATTTTTTTGGATTTTTTAGTTTCAGTATTAGTATAGTTCTATTAATGAGGATTATTGTATTATATTTCAAATATAAGCTAAAAAAAATAAAAATAAAATGTTACTGATTTTTACTACAAAATACTTAGTTACACTTAGTTATACTTAGGCACTTTGTTGGTGAATTGATTGATGCGCTGTGCATAGGGTGATACTCATGATTATTTACTGATAAATATATCGATACGCCGTCATCGTTATCATAATAATATAATAATAAACAAAAATCAAAGCATCTCTAAATAATTTTATCATCATATTCGGATAGTAGATAGTTTATTTTACAGTTTATAATATTATAGTATTGTAATTTATAACTTATAACTTATAACGGTCGATCTGAAATTCCGAACGCGTTAATATACCACCTATAATCTATATTATTTATAATTTTCTAAAACACACACCGCAAACGATATCCTATGCATGCATTTTTTTAACACATTACCTCTACCTATAAAAGAATTGCATTTTTAATAATTATAATATTTGTATCTTCGGCGCATTTTAGTACGTGTTAAAAGTCGAAAAAAAAACACAAATCTCGTACCAAATAGGACGTCACGGTCATCGTTTGGCTTACGACAATTATTATTCAATGAGAACATCACGAAGACGTGTCGACATATATTTTAATATATATTTATATGCACATTATATTATGTATGTATATCTATGTATGATATATATACATGCGTATTAAGGTTAGATTTATAGACCAATTACGAAATTGAGAACCCTTTTTATATTATTGTGCCAACTATTCCGCATACTGTGTGCTCGCGCTCTATAATAGCGTATAAATAAAAATGCGCGTTAAGGAAGTCACTAACCTACGAGTACGTGTGCGTGGCTCAATGACGACTGTAATCACGTAGGTAAGTCGAGGAGAATATGTGTGTGACGCGGCCAACTACCAAGGCCGCCGGACCTAATGCGATACCGTTGCAGGTCGGGAGGACCGGTTTTATTTATTTTTTTTATTATTATTATATTTTTCCTCCCGACCAAATAATATGGTGTTTTTTTTTCTGTAGAGGGTGAATTACACTGCAATGCCCACACCGTGGTCTGCGGAGGAAATAGGACAAAAAAAAAAAAATTAAATAAATCTAAAAGAAATGTGTACACAGTATACACGAATTCGTTCACGGATAATTAATGGACTTTTTATGAGGCACGCGGTGCCTTGAAAAAAAACAAATTGTTCGTCTACATAATAGCACAAGGAATCGGTTTGGACGGTAGACCACGACAGACATCTGCAGACGCACGCGTTACCATACATCGTATATAATATGCGAGCAAAAGAAAAAAAAAGGAAGAAAAAAGATCCGAAATAACGCGCAGTATAACAATGCACATCGCATGTATATATATTAAATTATAAGATGAATAATATTATTATTTTACATATTATATTTGTCGGGCAAGCGCAGACAAGAATTGTTTTCCAATTATGGTCACTCATAATGATTGTATTATTTTGTTGTGAATTTATTATTTTTCGTTCATGTTTTTATATACTCACTTATATATAGAGTATATTAGGTTTGTATATTACATAGAATTAGAACGGTATGTGCGAAACGTCTGGTCGTTTCGGCACACTCGAGAAACCGTTTAGAATTGCACGCTGGTCTTATGGCCATAATAATATAATAATACTGCGTAGGTACGTCGTACGTGTGATAATTTTTTCCCACTTGAATCCCACCGAGTCATGTGCGCGAATATACTCAATTATCTAGGAATGTCGTATTTTGGCTCGATTCACGTGTGCCGAAATCGTATGTTTTGTGCTATCGTAATGGGCGTATTGGAAATACGATACAGGGGTTCTTTTTTGATTATAAGCAAGCGAAACGGAAAAGTTTTTTTCAACCAGACCCTGGTAATCGGGTTTATGGTTATACTCTAAAATATTTTAGCACAGACTATATACGGGTGAGTGTGTGTCTGTGGGGGGTCTCTTTTCGGCTTATGGCGTACAAAATATTATGATTTGATGTAGAGTTGCAGTGCGTTGTTAATAATAATGATATAATTATAAAGAATTTAGAAAATTTAATGAGCCTGTTGGCCATAAGTAGCTCGTGTAATCCACGTCTATTGCTGTTAATATTGTTTTTACTTATTTTTGGTTCAGATCGATTTTCATAAAAAAAAAAGTTGATAGTAGATCAAAAATAAAATTTTTAACCTTTATAGGTATAGATATATAAATATAAATGTGCACACTTATTCCTTCACATGTATATTACAGAAATTCAACCATTTTAATAACCCCCGCAATTGGGTTGGTTTGGTTCTACAGTAAAATAATTGAACAATATAAAATCAGCTGTCCGGCAACATTGTGTGTTGAAGAGCATAAATAGATGTTACTCACAAAACATTATAAGCTCGTATAACAACGATAATATCGTTATTATCACTTTTCAGGTGTAAAATCAATTTTAATTTCGAGAATAAAAATAAAAAGATTATAAAAACGTTGGTTAATAGATTAAAATTATTTTATCATCGTTATATAAGCATTAAACATTTAGACATTAAAGCGGATATAAGATAATAAAAACAAAAATGTTATTAATTAATACTTGAACATTATAATATATTATTTGTAGTTTGTACTGTACATTATACACATGCGAGGATATACGTTAAGATTTAAAAGTTATAAGTTATAAGTGCAGACCATTAGATGTTGGTGCAAGTGTTAAAGTATTATAGTATTAAATACTTAATATACTTAACTGATACTCGTCATAAAATATTAATATAGGATTGGAACACGTGGTAAATGGTTACATAAACGAAAAAATAAATAGTTATTAATTTATTAGAGTGAATGAACTTGAGGATAATATATATGATCATTGACTATTCTGTACACAAAGAAAACCAGAAAACACAAATTTATTTATTCATCGTAATCTAATATCTATATAATGTACATCTACTGTATTTATCAAGTTTTTCTTATAAAAATATAAACCTATGATATTTAAAGGTAAATAATTTTATTTAAAGCACTCTGCCTGCACTAATAGTAAATTAAACGTTTCGTATGTATTCTATACGTATATACTAAACAGGTATTCGCGTAATAAAGCAAGTGCATTATGATATGATAGAAACCAGAAAACAATATTATCTCACGAAAAAATTTAAAGATGTTTTTTCTTATTTTTTTTTTCTTAGTGAATAATTTACTTTAAGACTCAATAAACCAAAAAATGCATTTTTATTGTATCTTGATACATAGTTTGCAATATTCGCATGTATTATCTAATAAGTAATATATATTAGTTTTATCACTAGGTACACGTGTAATTTGAACACCGCGGCATTAGATAACTTAAAATCAAGAATGTTATAATATTATGGAAAGGTAAATTGAACAATATACACTTACCTATTGAAAAATTCGTGTAATTTAAAAACGTTTAATAAAAAAACTCGTACTCGCAATGCATAATATACTTAATGGCTAATAGATATATCGTTGACATTATATGTTTGATAATTATCTCTGACACTGTAAAATTTACACAGTGAAAACGAGTATAGAATATGTAACAGTAGAAAGGATTTGACAAAATACCAAAGTCCTAAGTTATGGGGCGAGAATGTGTATTATTCGAGAAAATAAGATTAACACTGGAGAAATATAGCGTAGACGTAGTACTATACTACTGTATATAGTATTATACCATAATAGGGATAAGTTTATACGCCTATATCTTTATATATATTATTAGTACTGGACTACTAGTGTTATAAAGAATGACGCTGATTCAAAAATTTAGAACAACAATAGAAATACGAGAATCATGATTTATTTTATAGATCGGATTTTTGATTATCACGTCCTATCAAGTTCACTTGGAAAAATATTATACGATCCGCACAACGACAATATTAATAGAAAACTCAATCCAAAATCCATCAATAACAATTTATTGATCGAAAAAATGTTATTAAACGTTACTCAAAAATTAGCCTATCATGTTTATCGCTAAAATTATTACGTTCCCTAAAATAAAAATATATTATCAAAGGGGAATTTTTCGTAATGTATAGTATATTTATGACCGGCTCACATCGATGTGATGTCAAATACAAGTAAGGTTTACCGCATATAATTATCTTGATTTTCTAATTTTAGACAAAAATTGAAGCATAGGTACTATTATTATTGTAGTATGTTAATGATTAAAATCAAATGTATGTTCAAAAAGCACAATGGTTGTTTATGAACAATAGCTGCTTTCGATTAAATTAAAGCAGCATTTTTCCAATACTCATAGAAATAACTAATTGACTTTTTCATAGATATATCTTGACTAGTGTATGTGACACCATTTCAAGAATTTGGTGTGTATAAAATAAATTAATGTTTTAAGTTTTGATATTGTTGTTACATTATGTAATGAATTAATTGAAAGTAATTATTAAACCTTCAGAAAATGAAGAAATATTTAAGTCATATTAGATATTAATATTTTTTTTTAATATTTATTGAGTTTGTAGGCTCATTAAACACAGATACGTACATAAGATAACTGAGTTAAATCAATATTTTTTTCTTAATCTAACTTTTTTTCGATCAATTAACGAATATATATACAACTGTCAAAATATATTTTTATGTACGTCTTATAATTATTATTTTTGAATAATATATACCATCAAGCAAGTTTTGAAGTTTCCTTTTATACTAGTATCATTGCCCACTGTTTCATTGTTAAATTAATTTAAAGTTACTATAATAATTAATAATATTTAATCATTATTTTTGGAATTTTGATTTTTAGATGCAAACTATTTTATACCACAACTCCAGTGGCCGTGATGCGTTCACCGGTAAATTGAAACAAAAAGAAGTACATCGAGCCATAACTCTCCATCCAGTCAAGCAGCATAGTCACATGTATAGGATACACAACTACATGAAGGTATCGTGGAACGTCACAATTCTTAATTTAGTAATTTATTACTGTGTCAATTACTGATTTCTTTCGCGACCTTTTTTCACATTGCTGTAGGGTCTTGAGTTGCAAGAAATACATCAGAAGAAGATCTTGTTGTACCGGGACGTACGCTCTATGATGAATCAGCTGAATAGTACTCACCCGCAATCGTCTAAAGAGTTCCGGCTAACCGGCGATACAAAACAACTGTTCTCATCCCGGCCGGGAAGTCCGAATTACTTAGGCGACCCGGACCTGTTGGGTAACTAAATAATATTACATTATATTTTTATCGCAGTTTAGCTTGTATGTATATTATGCAAAAACTGTATCGTCTATGTTTTATAATAATATTATATGGGTGTGTAGGACTTCCACCGGGTCTGAACAAGTATAGACCGCGCAAGGTGGCGGACGTCATCAAGTGGGACTTTATATCAAAAGCATGGTTCTCGGATACAGATGCAAATCCCAGACGTCGGATCGACTCGTACACGAAAGAAGGCCTCGATGACGTCGTCCGGGAGGTATAGCTAAAAAAATATTAAGTATATATACTTACAATAAAATGACTAATTAATATTAATTATTATTTTAAAAACTGTACATGGTTTTAATTAATATCAGAGGTGATCATCTTTAATAGAATTACGATCGACTTCTGAGTTTCTATAGATTGATACGATCGCATTCAACCGATTTACTTGAGAACAAAAAAAAAAAAAAAATGTCTTTGATGTGCATTATGTATGTTATAATATGTATGCCTGTTAAATTTATTTTATAAATAACGCTTTACTTTACAATTTCATGGTTAAATATTTTAATACATTTATTTTGTAAATAGAATAGAAGTTAATATGAGTTAACAGGTTGAAGTCAATCGGATTACGTACAATCTACATATAGTCACTTATTATCTAATAGGTATTTTCAAAAATAATTAGTCAAAATCTAATAAATAGATTATCAGACAAATTGAACATTTTTTTCAGGTTATCTCTGTAGTTTATACTTTTTTTTTCATCATAAAACATCATTTATTTTGTAACTTAAAGAATTATTTTAAATAAGATAAAGATGTGACTACTGTCTATAATATATACATAATACAATATACATGTATATCTTATTTTGTAGGTTATGGATCTAATAAATAAATTTTCCAAGCAACGTGGTCGGGTAATTGATTTTAAAGAAATATTTTACGGTTACCAGAGAGTGAACCCATTATACGGCGTCGACTACATGTTGGATATGTTGCTGATGTACAAGAAATACCGGGGAAAGAAGATGACCGTTCCTGTGCGGCGACACGCATACCTCCAGCAGCAATTTACTGGTAAGAAAGATAATATAAAGTATCTAATGCAACTAAGCCTGTTGGTCGTGTTTTTCGAAAGAGAAAATCGAATTTAATTTATTTTTCATTTGTTACCATCGTACATGTATTTTATGAATAATTATATCATCGTTCGAGATTACAATAATAAACACGTGATGTAATACAGTATATATAATGTCAGATGGTAAAGACATTTATTGACGTTGCTCATGATTTGTCTAGGAATACAGAATAAAATCTTGTTATATCATAATAATCTGATAATTACGTTTAAAGTTCAAAAGTTGAATGAAATAAATTTTTAATCTTAAATTAATATCACACCGATAAGCTTTATTTTTAATTATTTACAAAACAATATAATATAGACATTTTGATAAAACGAAAAACTTCATGTTCTTAGAACATTAATTAAATAACAAAATATGTTGCTTAGAATAAATCTATTTTATGTTTCACCAACCTTCAAATTTAATTATAAAAAATAAATAACTTTAAGAGTTTAGACACTTATAATATGTACCTATATTTATAAAAGAATTTCAGCTAATATTTGTTATCTCACTCAGACCCATGCGTAACATAGATAAAAGGTATTTACGTATAATCGTTTTTGTGGTATTTTAGTAAACTTTGAATAAAATCACTTTTTTAAAAAAATATAGAAGATAATATTTTTGAGGGTTGTCATATCGATTTTATATTTTGTTATTATTTGGCTTTATATTTAAATTTAAAAATAAAAACTAATTTTTAGTTAATTTAAATTTATATTAAATTGTTTTTAGACAATATATTTTAAACAAATCAATATGTCATGTCTTAAAAATATAAATCTTTGTAATTTTTGTGATAAATGATTTTACTCTGATATAACATAAAAATATAATAAAAATGATTTTGTGTTAATGCATTATGTGCATAGGCCAGAGAAAGAATACAAACAGTGCATTAATATCATCTTAAACTAGGCATGCCCAACCTTCAGCTTGCGGCATAGTTAGTAAACAAACCTATAAAAATAGTAGTTTTAAGTAGTAGATATCATAATATTTTTTTATGAATAACATTTTTTACGAGTAGTTATAAGTAATTAATTGCCAAAAAATGATTTATGAATTATAAAAATAATAATAAATGTATTATAGCATATTCATAAACCAAAAGCTTGTGTAGGATGTACATGTACGTTAAACAGTGAAAATTTTAGGAAAATACATGTACTCATTAGAAATAACATAGTTTACAAAATAGTGGTATGTGTGTGTAAAAAAAGTATTATAACTTTTGCGGGAATGTAATATAATGTGAAAACATAGATGTAATAATACAAAGTTCAAATATTAATAAAATAAAATAATTCGATAGTGGAACAAAATCTAAGATAATACAATTTATATGCTTCGTACTATATTGCGACCTGCAATATATTTATAAACTTTTGATAATATCGCTTATTGTAAAATATATGAATACATCTACTTAATATAGATAGGATGGTCGTGTGATCATTCTTGCAAAAAAGTAGATATAACTAAAATCTCTACAGTTCAACAATCTACTAAATGTCTAAATTTTACATATTATATTGTTATTTATGAATTTGATCGGATTCAATGTATATAACTAAATGTATAGGTACTATTCAGAAGTATAAACAAAAAACCTAACTTAACCTATAATAGAGATTTTAATCAAAATGAATAAGTACAAAAATTCTAGAAGTATTACACTGTCCAAGTATATATTTAAGCCCCCGAAAATATTTAAAAATTTTGTTTAGTTGTTCACGTTGTCATTAATGTGGAACGAATTTACATATTTTATTTCTATTTATAAGGTGTTAAAAGTAATATACTTATACGATTTGGTCATTACAGGTTTCGAAGTGCGAGAAGTGTTGGACGGTTTGGAAGTGAATCCAAAAATGCAGCAGCAGGACGCCGAAGTGTACGAAAATGACGACGATGACGCGGCGGGGAGTCCGTCCAGGGACATCGCGGACAACGGTATGGTCCGGGTGGTGGAAGGGCCGCCAGCCAAGCGTCGGCCCGACAGCCAAGCTAAGACGGTTCACTTCGTGCTTCCGTTGTTCAACCGGCTGGCCACTTTCGCCCGGTTCTTGGACAACTACGAGTCGGTGTGCCTGGCCAATGACGAGCGCGTTACGCTGACGGTGGTGCCCTACGGACGGGCCACTGCAGACGGGGCGGCCGCCGCGGTGGCCCAACTCGCGGCCCGCTACCCAAACGCCCGACTCACCGTGCTGCCGGACGCCGGCGGCCCGTTCGCTCGGGCGGCGGCGCTGCAGGCGGGTGCCGTCCACGCGGCCGGCCCGCCGCCGGACGACCTACTGTTCTTCGTCGACGTGGACATGCTGTGGACGGCCGCGACGGTGGACCGCGTCCGGTTGAACACGGTCCGCGGCCGCACCGTGTACTTCCCGATCGTGTACAGCGAATACGACCCCGTAGTGGTGTACGGCCGGGCGGCCGGGTCCCCGAACCACTTCCTGGTCAACCAGGACACCGGATATTGGCGGCAGTACGGGTTCGGTATCGTCAGCGCGTACGCCACCGACCTGGCGGCCGCCGGCGGGCTGGACACGTCCATCCAGGGCTGGGGCAACGAGGACGTGGACCTGTACGAGAAGTTCGTGCGGTCGCAAACCGCGACGGCGGTGTCCGTGTTTCGCGCCGCCGACCCGGACCTGGTGCACGTTTACCATCCGGTGGAGTGCGACGCCGGGCTGCCGGAACCCAAGGCCCGGATGTGCGCCAACACCAGGTTCGAAACGTACGGTAACGTGGACCAGTTCGCCAACATCATCTACAGGAACCGGGACGTGGTGTACGAGTTCGCGGCTCGCCGACTGCGGAACGAGTCGGCCTCGGCGACGCGGCCGTCGCTTCCGCTGCCCGTGTCCGTGTCGGCGTCTCGACCGCGCGTTTAATGATTTAAAAAATATATATTATGACATAATCATACTCAGCACATTATTGTTTGTCATGTTTATCGCAAACGAACAAGAACGTCAATTATTCGTGTCGTGATCTCAAGTCGATCGAGAAAATCGTGTCTCTCTATATGCCTCTCTCTCTCTATATAAAAATATATTTATACAATATTATAATTAATGTAATGTTTAAGACATATCGTGATATTATTATACCAGCTGTAAAATATTGTAGGTATTTGTAATAGTTATTACGACTGATAAATGTTTATCATAGCAATTAAGGAAATAATATAATAATTTAAATACAGGTTTTGGCGTTTTATTGTTTATAAAAAAAATTATATATATATACAGTGAATTGTGATAATATATTACTACACAAAACGTAAAATTGATGAACATTACCGATTTACTAAAACATAAAATATTAAAATTAAAATTATAATACAAAGTAAAATTAAACTTAACAAAATAGGTATCATTCAGTTCTTTTGAATTTAAGACTTATCACACCAGACGATCACTTACTCATCCTGACAAATGTCTGTATGCAATTCATTTGCTTTTTCCATTGGTTATACCAGTCATTTAAAATTTCATAGTCTACAATTTGATGACCATTGATACCAATATTTTCTTCTTCTCTTTTATGTATATTATGTTCTTGGATATTGTTGCAAAGCGTTTTTTGTATAGATTTATTGTTGTCTTTCACTAAATTTATCCTATGGCTGTTATGATGATCATAAGAACAATTTTTATTAGTAATATGTTCATCAAAACTTTTATTTTTTGCTTCTAATTTAATTTTTTCCTCGAATTGTACTTCTAAATAAATTTCTTCCTCATATTGATTTTTATTATCACAATATTCTTTTTCATCAACATTTTCGTGTTTAAAATAGTATTTATCTTCATGAGAATATTGTTCTTCACATGATTCTTTTTCTTCACATGATTCTTTTTCTTCACATGATTCTTCTTCATCACATGATTCTTCTTCATCGTAGTCTTCTTCATCGCAGTATTCTTCTTCACTACAGTATTCTTCTTCATCGCAGTATTCTTCTTCACTACAGTTTTCTTCTTCATCACAGTATTCTTCTTCATCACAGTATTCTTCTTCATCACAATTTTCTTCTTCCAACAAATTTTCATTTTCACTACCTTTTTCACATATTATTGTTGACACATCACTTTCTTCTACATTTTTTGAATGATCAAATTCACTGTCATGCTGTATTGGTTTTAAAAGGCTAAAATCTGGTATTTGAAATAAACTATAAATGTTTGTGAATCGTAGTCGTTGACTATTATTTATATCAATTTTAGTGCCATCAATATTTGATTCATTTGAAAAACTGTTTTCTGAACATACTTCATTAACAAATTGTTCGTCTTCACAATTAATTTGAGATTTATTATGGATCTGTAATGCCTGATCTATATTTATATTGTTTGTTTTATCATCAGTAGTGTTGGATATATTTTTGAAATCATTATCTTTACATACTTGATTTATGTTAGAGGGTTCATTTTCACTAACGGATTGGAGTTTAGAGTTTTGTAACATGAGTTTCTTATTAGCTTCATACTTCTCAAAATCTGAATCATAATTTGTTATGATGTCTAACAGATCATCAGGACTATATTTTATATAATGATCAGTGATCTCAAGTAAAGGTTCTGGATCAAATAACACAAAAGATCTGTCCTCAGTTAAATGTTTTTTATCAACTATGTTATCTTCAATGAGTTTTTTTTCAGTTTCTTTAACAATATCACAAAGTTTTTGTAGTGATTCCTCTTCAGATAAACTATATTTATAAATAGAATTTATTTCATCTGATGGTTGTTGACATTTTTTAGATAGGCTGTTAATATTCGATTCAATATCATTAGGACTAAACATAGAATCATCTAAAGTAATAACAATAATACAAATTAATTTAAATTTATATTGATTATTTTACCAAATTGTCTTACTTTTATTATCCATATTTAAGTTTTCTTCAATTACATTATTCCCATTTTCTTTAGCTATTTCATTTTCAGTATCTTGGACTGGTAACATTTCAGGTTCAATCGTTAAATTAAGATCTTCAAGCTCATTGTCTGCATATTCAAGTATAGGTTTTGTAATTGCAATCGGTAACATTTTTACTTTAATACTTTCAATACTGTTAATAATATTTTTAAAAGTTTTTAACTCTTTGTCATCATCCAAAATAGTAAAAGCATTTCCTAAAAAAAAAAAATATCACAGTTTATTTTTTACAAAATTAGTTATACAAAAAAAAAATTAACCTTTGTTTCCAAATCTTCCAGCTCGGCCAATTCTATGTAGATATGTAGCCCAATCATTTGGACAGTCCATATTAATCACCAAGTCTACATTAGATGAATCTATTCCTCTGGCTATCAAATCCGTGGCAACGAGTATTTTTGATTTAAAAGAAGTTAATCTATCTACTAACTTCAATCGTATACTTTGATCTTGATCACCTCTAATATAATCTGCTTTATAGTTATGGTCACGTAGCATATTACAAACAGCTTCAACTCTGTAAATGTATAATTAATATAATTACCAAATATTATTTTTGAATAATATGTATACCAATAAAAGTACCTTGTCATGTAATTAGTGAATATGATACATTGAGTATATGGTAAATTTTGCAATATATTGAGAAGTCGTACATTCTTTGCAGGTAATAATATTATATTAGTACTGACTGCTTTAACACATGCTACATACTGTTTAATACCTATTAGGAACTTTGATGGGTCTTGTAATGCATTCATATCTTCTTCTGCTCCCTTAACCATGATATACTCTTTCATGAACTCATCGAATATAGACATATCATTTTTATCAATTGATGCACTTACAACTATTGTTTGCTTTAATTTTGGAAGTTTAGCATCAATAACTCTGTAACAAATATGTTATACATTTATAATCAGTGCTAATAAAATTTAAGAAATAAAAATTACACTTAATCTTTTATTATTAAAAGAAATTGATTTAGATATACTATAAAATATAAAGATAAGTACACATAATATATGTACCAAAAGAAGTAAGACTTAAATGAAAAAAATTGAAAATATTTTATCAATTACTATGTGTATTATATAAATGCTTTTTCTTGTTGAAATTAAAAAAGAACAATTAAAATGATAACATTAATTCTGTAATGTGTAGGTAGTACATTACATTTTATGATAACCAATTTTTATTAATCATAATAGTCTATGATAAAATCATTGTTACTCCAAATTTTTTGTGAGTTATTTTATTTTTTTATAGTTAACATTTATAAATTAAACTAAAATTTGAAATATTTATAAGTAATATTATATATAAAAAAAAGTATAAACTTCAGTAAATTATTATAAAAAAAATAGTAAATTGCTTAAACTTTAACTGTATTAATTGTAAAAATGGATCATACATATTTTATCTATTAAATATTAAACAATTTTGTATCTATAATTTTTTTAAATATCTAATGATCTAATGTGAATAAGTAATAGGCTAAAATCTTTTATACACACATAATTTCTATATATTTAAAATTTTAAAAGAGCTATACTTCAATTTTTCAATACGTGAAATATTTATATAATTTTCTATTAAATTCAATATTGATAATATTACCTAACATCTTTTGTAAAACTTTTATCAGTAAATAATCGATCAACTTCATCAAGTATAAAACTTTTTACTTCTGAACATTTTAAGACATGTTCATTGAGTAAATGTTTGATGCGTCCTGGGGAACCAACAGCTATTTGACAGTATTTTGCTTTCTGTTTGTCAACATCAACTGGAGTACCACCAATGAAATATTCACATTTCAATCCTAAATTTTATAAACATATATATCAGTTTAAATTAGATTTTCTATCTTAATATGTACATAACCTATATGTATAGGTATTAACTTAATACGACTTTAAGTGAACAAAAAAGAAATTTTTTTTAGATAATATAAGTATTCATGTTACTATGAATGTCCGTTATTGGTGAATGCTGATAGCACATTAAAATCCTTAATAAATGTTGACATATTGATTAAACTTTTACTGTTTAGTGTTTGTGAACATTTATTAACAAATATCAACATTAACATAGCAATAATATTGTTAAATATTGGCAATGCTGATATAGTTTTATTTGAATACAATTTCAAAATAATAAGAAAGTCACAATAATATACACTATACGGTAATAATATATAGTAAGTATACTACCTATACGATATTAGATATTGTGTAAGTTGATAATTTTGATAAAATATTTTACTACTTAAAAGGACATCACACCCACATGTGTTGTCTTCATCTTACACACGGACAACAGTAAATTTTTGTTCACCAGTTTCAACAGTGTGTTTTTAGTTTTGATATTAAAGTAAATTGACCTATTATCAAATTTTTACTTAAGAACCTTATCCATGTTCTCTCATTGATTTTCATAATATTTTAATTCTTAAGTGAGTTAAGAGCATTTTCAAGTATTTATATTTTTCATATTCATAACTCACTTAAAAATTAAAATATGGTAAAAAAAACCAACGAGAGTATACGGATAGTTTTTAACTAAAAATTTATTTATAGGTCAATTTACTCCAATATCAAAACTAAAAATACATTATTGAAACTGGTGAACAAAAATTTACTGTTATACATATGTGAGACAGACAACACATGTGAGTGTGATGTCCTCTTAACAATTTTTATAATTTCAATAAAGGCTTCGCTATACTATTATTTAGTATGCTTCTGTCATTCACAGCAATTATACATTAGGCATAATATAGAATTAATTTTCATATTGACTAAACAATTTTATTTATGCTTCAAAAATTACTTTTTCAATCTCTGATATATTAAGGAATCTATACATTTTTTTAAATAAAATAAATACATTTTAAATTATTTAATAACAATAATTGATTATATTAAACATGATATATTTTATATACTATCTGTCTTTAATCTATTTTATAATATTGACATTAACTAAATCCATGTTATGTCAACAATGACTATAATCATGTATATGTCAACATTGTTTTAATTTATCAACATTCGCTAATTTAAAAGTGCGTATTAACATTCTCCGGGTGACTGTTAGCTTTTATTGTAAAATATATACTGAAAGGTTTCAGTAATTATTTTATGGTCAAGTTAAAAGAAAAACAGTTTTGTTATAAGTACCTGGCAAGTGCTGTCCAACTTTTTTGAAACACTGTTGTATTTGAACAGCAATTTCTCGAGTTGGTGCCAAAATAATAGTTTGTAAATGATCTTGTTCTAATTTTAGTCTCATCAAAGTTGGTATAACAAAAGTTAATGTCTTCCCAGTTCCATTTTTCGCCTCGACTATTGTATCTATTAATGTAAAAAGCATGTATTATGTAAGTAGTTTATTTTGGAGGTAAAGAGTAAAATAAAAATATTTTGTACAAATTACCATTTCCTGCGATGATTGTTGGTATAGCAGCAACTTGTATTGGAGAAGCATTTATGAACTCACAGTCAGACAGACCTTTCAGTATAAGTGGATGGTCCGTTACAATGGCGCTGAAAGGTGTCTCATCGTGTGTTTGTACATCTGTAGTTCGGTCAGTGTCTTTGGAATATTCGGACGCCGGCATAGCGTCAATACAAAATTAAGTAAAAAATTAAAAATAGCTGAATAAAAAAATCTTCTATGAAACAAATAATAAGCACGAAACTATGAAAAATGAGTGAATAAGACGAGGAAGACGATCTATAGAATTTGAAAGTGGAAACACTTAAACATCTCAAACATTGTTACCGTTTATCAATTTATTATGGTTGAAAAAAATTATCACATGTTTTTATCACCATTATCAATGGTTTTTTATGTAATTTATATTTTGCTTACTTATTATCTGATATCTCCAACCTCCGTAATATCAACAACTACAGCATTACTTTTTCAATTTTCTTTGCTGTATCTACGCACCTACAATACTTTTTTTTCAAATTACTAAAAGATGAAATTTAAATAATAGCAATAACTTATAAATACGTATAAATAATTGGTTGTTTCATAATGATTATTTATTATTCTATTTGTTAAGCTGAGTTGAACAATAATCACGATTTCCTTACATCTTATGTGTAGGTAGATAATAAAATCTGGGTAACGCGTTACCTATGCAATTCACCAGGTTGAACTCAGAAATTTACCAAATTTGTGTAATGTATAAAATTTCAAGTATTAAATAGTGCATTATTCAGATGGGTTCAAAATAAAATTGAACAACTCGTTGTTTAACATTTACAGAATCAAAAAAATAATTTTAAAAAATAATTTTTTTTTATTACTTATTTACTACTTTATAATAATAATAATTGTAATAATATAATACTTAATTAATAATTAGGCGTATGCGATTAATGTGCTTTTTTCCTGCTATTGTCAATTTTAGATACTTTCAAACGCAAAGAGTGCGATAATTGGAGCTTTTGATGCCCACCATTGTCAAAAGTTAGGTTACTTTATACTTCTATTATAGTTATATAATTTTTACTCTATAGTTCTATACAATTTAAAAATACATACATTTCTTACAATTTGTATAATTAAAAAAACTTCTCGCGACTCATAGTTTGAGAAACGCTGCTATAGGCATTAAAAATTTGCCGCCCCTATAAAAGGTGAACAACTGAACAAGTTACCACAATCGTACACTATTACCATATACAATATAGGAAAATATTATTAATTATTTTTCGTAAATATAAAGTTTTTTATTTCTTTTTTTTTTTTTATAAGTTTGATGTTTTTTTAATAAAACACTACAATATTTGCCACCCCCCCCTCAAGTTTTGCCATCCTAAGCAGCTACCTATACAGTGTCTAATGTGAAATCCGCCTCTGTTCGTTTATGTTAATGAATTAATTTTATGAAGTATTATTGTTATCGACGATCAACGACGTTGTCATATCGAGGTAAAAAATAAATGTCAATAATTAAAAAAAACTCAACAACAAATCTTTTATATCCTTAATATATACCTTTTTGAGACAGTAGATAATCACTTATAATAAATTTTAAAATTTTATTTAATCGCCAGTCAGGTACGTAGTCAGTATTTTATTTTATTTTCATTTTTAGGGGGACTTCTAAATAATTTTGAATACAATTTTTATTTTTTAAACATTTTTTTTTTTAATAATTATAATAAAATGTAATTTAATTATTTTCAACTAATATAGTTATAGTTCACACAACTATAGGCTATAGCTATATATGTAATAATATAATATTAAATGTCTGTTTTTATTTTAACCATTGTATCTAATACTAACTTTAGAAACAAACACTTCCTAATATATATTGTCTGAGAGCAAGTCTCATTAAACATTCATTTCCAGTTTAATTACGAAGTAATGTTTTTATGCGTTTTAATGTTGAAAAGGAACGTTCTACTTCTATTGTAGAAACTAGTAAAGACTAGAGTTGTCAACATTTTTAATAGAAAATTAATTTACGTTTGAGTAAAAATTTAAATCAGGTATGCATCCAAAATATTCATCATTCCATTGAGAAATTTTCTACATTTACCCATTTTTCACACCGTAACAAATATTTAGACATAATTACTTTTTTAGATACAAAGTCTCTGTAAAATATAATGAGATTTCTAAGTTTTAATACATTTTCATTTAGAAAACATTTTGGTTAGGTTTTAAGCAGCATGCTCGTATAGTCGTATAATATTGTTAGATAATAATTTACGTTATTCGACGTTACTATTATGCATCGTGTCCCTACGATAAAATATAATAATAAAAAATTGATCGTTCTACAGTGGTTTATTTTTGTATTATAATAAAATATAATATTTTTGAATAAGATGTAGTTATATTTAATAATAAAGTATTTTAATTCGACTTAATTATAAAGAATTACAATTTTATATGCTAGTACAGGTGCATTTTGGGAAAAGAGGATGTTGGTCTGGATCCTAGGATATACATGTTTGTCACTAGTCAAAATTATGAATCTTTAAAATTCAAAGCGAACACTATATTTGTCGACACCGGCGATCAGGGCAATATTAATAATATTAACACCATAGCGATGAACATGAAAAAAATATGAATTAATATATGGTTAACTTTCAATAATATTACTTAGATATTAAAAAAAATTTTGGGCATCCAATGCACACGCACTTTTTACACCCCCTTAGGCATGGCACTGCAGGCATTTTGTAGTGATACAGACATATTTTTATAAATTATTATGCAGTTTGTAAAAAGTTTTTAAGTAGGTATAATAGGTACAAGATATTTAACATTAAAAACAAAATTATCAGATACACAATTTATAATAAGAAATGGTGGTACTTATTAAAGAAAAAAAAGAAGTTTGTATAATAATTGTATCACTACAGAATACTCTTTAAATTGTATAAAAATCGATAGTACCTATTTGCAATTATGGTATTTCGATTTTAAGAAAACTTAAAAATTCTAAAAACAGAATTTAAACAAATGTATTATAGTCGGCATTCTCGAGAAAAATTGTGCAGGTAACATATTCCATTATCGGATTCAATTAAAATAGTTAAGGATATTCTAAATTTTTTTGAAATAATATTTGATCTAAATGGAAAAGCTGTTTAAAATAAATGTAAACAGGTACTAGAAAAAAAAGTCGTGGTCTCTTGGTGTTGGTATAAATATCATAAGTTCTAATGAGTGAAGAAACGTCCAAAAATTTAGATGGTCTTCCTGAAGAGGCTGAAGATTTAAATTGTAATGACTTAGCATTTTTAAGTATGCACTCCTGACATCTGTTAATATATTGAATGGCCATTCTCGGCATACAAAACTATTGTAAAATAACTGTAGATCGTCCAATTTGAAAATATTAGAAAACATCTTATTGTTCATTGCTATTCTTAAGGTAAATAAAAGAAATTAACTTAAAATTAATGCATTATATTAATTTATTATACAATAATGATACTTAAATTGTTCTACATATTATGTTAACAAGAAATGTTCCAGAGCCGGACAAAGTACCAACTAATTCACAAATACCTACCACCATATTTTATAATATACAACTTCTATAATTTTAAAGGTTAATTTATAAAAAAAAGCTTAAATAAAAAAATTTCTGTTGATGAAATTTTAATTTGCATATTTTCCAATTTTAAGCGCTATTTATAGGCTATAGCACTTATTGTTCTTAAATCTTAAATGGATATTAAAGCGTTACTCATAAGTAATTCATAAATACATAATTTTCTTTTATGAATATTTCAAATTTGAACTAAATTTTGACAAAAATAGATATTTTAATAAATATTAGCAATTTTAGTTACTTTATTATATTTTAAAAATAATAAAAATGGAGACTTGGAAATTAAAATTTTAACGTATGCACATTATTATATTTTACTTTTACTTTTATGCTATTATAGTTTAAAAATGTTTAAATAAATAAATTTTAAACCTATCATTTTATTATACCGTAATACTAATTGTAAAATAAATTACTATAGGTAATTTAAATTGAAATTTATCATAAGATATATAATAAAATAAGTAATTAATCAGTCTGATAGACCGATCGTCGCCCAGAATCGTCTTACGTTTGCAATGAGTTGTAATTAAATTCTAATTTAACGTAATATATTTTATTATAATAAATTACTCAGTGATGAGGTATACGGTTTAATGAACACTTGTTAGTTGTTATCCTATATATTCTTATTTTGCAGCAGAGCGGCTATATACTCCCCGCTTTATTATTATTATTATTTGCTTAATTATCATTAAATATAATAATAATAAAAATAATTTTTCAAAATAAATAAATAACAAAGAATATATTTAAATAAAATTTTTAAAAAAATGCAAAGTATAAAAATATAGGTTTATTTTTAATTTTATTATGAATTAAAAACAAAAAATCAACAAATCATTAAATAATTATTATGGTTATTATTAATCAAATACGCATTTTTCAAATAAAATAATTTTTCAGTAACTCCATTTAGACATTATATACTATTTGTCTATGTAATTGGATGAGGTACCTATGTATAAATATCTATAAAGTGTGTATTGAAAAATGTTATAGTTAATACTTAAATTATACTTAAATAACCATTAAGATTATTTCATATGGTTATTTAACGTCAATTATAATTATAAAATTAAAATTGTTCTTATAATCAATTATGTACACAATGTTCACCTAGTGTGCTCATAGCTATAGTAGGTAGTGATTGTCGTCGTTTAGTCTCACGGATGCCTCCGGAGTACAAACTCAATAGGTATAGGTTTGGTGAGAATTCTTAATTAAAGGTGTAAAAGTTTCCATTGTTATTGTAGACTCCCATTAAATATTGTTGTAATAATTTTATTTTTAACTCTTAATGTTGTAAAATAATGTTTATTCTGTATTTTAAATTTTAATTTTCTGGTCAACAACAAACAATTTACTTTTACAGCCAACTCTCTCTCGTTCGATTTCATAAAACCTTCGTTTGTGTTTTGAGCGTTTGTACGTTTACCTTTCAATATTTATATATTCTCTATACTTTTATAATTAGTAACAAATATTAAAGATAATATTTTATTTTACAAATAAAATGTAACGGAGTTATCCTCCGGATGCAATAGTGTTGGCGGACGCTTCTGTAATAATTTACTGTCACGACTTGAAATCGTGATCATTGAAGTAGGTACTCATTTCCGATTCTTTTATTGTTACGTTTCGGCTTTCATAGTTTCATTATTACGCTTTATAATTATATTC